CGAATGTTGAATATTTGAATATTTGATATACGTTGTTGTTAAAGGTGTGTGGTTTTAATATCGAAAGTATTCCGTATTTGGTTTACGTACATACACGGCATTTTATTGTTTAAAGTATGAATATTCTGTTATTTCGATGTTTTAACATTGAGAGCATCTATTTTCGCGCAAATATTTTGCTGTTTGAGTATTTGTACAAGTATTCTTGTTCGAACTTCTTCTTACAGTTTGCAATATGTCGTTGTTTTACTAGAATCAAACTATTGAAGAGTCGAAGAAAATTAATTGAAGAATGATAGTAACGAAACTGCCACAATACCGAAGTTTATTCATTTATAGAAATTCTAAAAATTCAGAAATCTACACACTCTGAAATAATAGCACTATTTTCTGTTCGAGCTCAGTGTTTTTAAATATAAATTTGCATAACTATAATCAAATATTAACTAGACTTTGATTCACTCATTAAGGCTACTCATTAGAGTATCACATATTACAATATATACTTAAACATGAATGCACTTTTCATTCGTTACGTGCACCACATTCATCATCAAAATTTTAAAATTTTGACAATAATTAGTATCTGAAAAAGTTTCATGCTAACAGTTGCATAAGTATACAGGGTGATTCACGTAACTTGCACACCTGAAATAACTTTTAAATTATGGGTCTAAAAATTGTTTAATACAAGAGTTGCATAGTTTTAAAAGAGGCGTAAATATGGCGTATCAATTTTTTGTGTGCGTCGAGAGGTCTCGAAATTTCCATCTTTATTTTTTTTTTAATATCCTTTTTCATTATAAATCGAAAAAATATTAAATTCCAAGTAAAAGAAAGAGTATTTTAGTCTCAAACCTAATGGTTAAGGAGATGGTTTTATGACAATTTGTCTCGAGGATGAAAATTGCATACTAACACTAATAATAATATTTAATAATAATATTATTTTAATATATATATAATATATTAAATATATAATTTATATATAATATATATAAATCATATATTAATATTTAATAATAATATTTTAATATATATATATATATATAATATATTAAACATATAATTTATATATAACAATGTATATAAATTATATATTACTATTTAATAATAATATTATTTTACTAAAATCAAAATTATTATTATTATTATATTACTAAAATTAAACGAGAGAACTTTCATTTTTAAAGGGAGAAAAAAATTATTTTCGTCGATTAAATCGTGTCGCGTGCGAAGGAGAAAGAGTTGTCTGTCTGCACGGTGCAACTATCGACTCCGAGACTACTTGAAAGTCGCGGCTGGGCTGCCGCGTAAAAATCACGCCTGTACCACTGCGCGCCGTCGTCTTTGTTTCATTCACTGGCGCTGCGTGTCGCGTTACGGAGCGTGTACGGCACGCACTCGAGTATGAAGCTCCACCCGTTCAAGGATAAGAGGTCAATCGAGGAGGTGAGACGAGTAGAAAGGCGATAAATTTTCGTGGAAAAGAAGTCAGAAAGAACCGAGAAATCGTTAAGGCATTAAAGAGAATTCTGTCTGGACGGATCAACTCTTTATAATTGTTGCTAGTGTTGCGTAAATTAATAATAAAGTAATAAAATGTAATAATAATTAAAATAAACCACGATAAATATTTCAGTTAATGATGAAATAAAACGATTGAAACAGTTTCATATATTCTTCAATTTCGGATTAGTTTCTTTTTTATTATCTTTATTTTTGATTGTTTCATTGTTTCTGTTGTAATTTAAAATTATTTCATCTCTGTAAGTATCTATTCCAAGCAATCTTCAATTTAATGATTTTTAGTTTTTGATAATTCGTGTTTTTAAACATTATTTAATTTTTAATTATTGTTTATTTTTTATTATTCAAGACTTAGCTAATACTATGTAGTGAAGTTTATCGCTTGATACTTCATTCAAGAGTACAATTTCGAATGATCGATTTAATGTCGTTAGAAAGTGACCGATTTCAGAAATTCAATAAGTATTATACGTTTTACGACTGACCAGGTTGTCAGATAAAAATAACGACGAATAAATTTTCTGAGATCTTCGAAAATCCACAAAATATACATGCAATACACAAAAATCCGTAAAATATCCAAAGTGGAATGTTTGTTACATTTGCAACAACATAAAATTGCATCACATGAAATGTAAAATATTTTACATAACGATTCTGATTCTGCATATAATAAAAATATAACACTACAACGTACTCAAATAATTCTCGCTGCTAACAATTTGTTACTATCTTATTAATAATAAATGTAATTAGTAAATATTAATGAGAAAAATTAATTATCAAAATTACTACTTACTAAATCTGGTAATTTTCTCAATACCAACGGAAGATACCCATGATCGTCGAACAAAGACGTTCTATTTAACACGAGGATGTTAATGGCGATTCATTAAGGAACAAGGAGGACCCACGAGGTCATCGCGCTTTATTTGGCGAACGGACGAAAGCCAAACGTGTGTCACGTCACGCCAAGTTTCGTAAGAGGCCGAGTCTCAGAGCCTTGGAGTAGTGGCGTGTATACCCACCGAATTCAATGGACTTTTAATCAAGCCGAAGGACGCGTAGTACTCCGCGTAGTATAGCCGCCGTGTAATTTCACGGTCGAGAGAAAACGAGGGTACTACGACGTACTCGAGCGAGCAGCTCATCCGCGAGAACGGAAAAGAAACAGTGAGAGCCGTCCGTACGTGTACGTACGTACGTACGTGCACGGTTGCCTACAATCAGGAACGATACACGCGTGGTACCCGCTCGCATTTTCAGGGTGATTCATGCAACTGTATGAAGCGATACTTTTTTGTTGGTTGAAATTAGAAGATGATGGAGGGGGCATTTATCACGTTTGCACAATATTATTCCAATTTTATAATTACATTATTCTTTAAAATGGAGAACTCTGATCTGAAAATTGAAAAATATTCAATTATTTAATTTTAATTATATTTAATTGAATTGAAAAGTACTTAATTATTTAATTTTAATTATATTTAATTGAATTAAAGGATATTTAATTATTTAATTTTAATTACATTTAATTGAATTGA